TTCCTGTTTCTTCTTCTGTAAATGCATGCATTTTTAATCGCCGCTCATTTTGTCATGAAAGTGAGAAAAGAAGTGCTCTGCAAGATATATTTGAATACGTTGTTAATACACACGTTTCTCTGTTCCAGGCAGGAGCAAAAAGCCTTGTCCGACTTCATGTTTGGAAAAAGTATGTAGAAGTAGTGTGCGTGTCAGTGTGTGTTTTCCTACATTGAAGTACAACACAAACACACATTCAGCTGCATGTTGGGAAGTTCAAGAGGTCCGCTTAAAAGGTCCCGCAAGTTTTTGAGAAAGAACAGGAGCAGCAAAATATTTTCAGTCTGCAGAAGCATTCCTGCAAAGTGCATGTCAAGTATGTTTTCCTCTCAGTTCTACTATCTAAGTAACGAAGGTTTCCTCTGCATTGTAAAGCCCCCTGAGCTTTTAACAATATCCATCATATACTGTGCAAATGCGTCCGTCTGTGAGACTTGTGGTATGACAAACCTTTTCAAATCCTGGAAATGGGATCCTCTTTTCTACATAAGTCACATGGTTCAGACTTTATCCACTACTTTCTGTTTCGAGCACTGCATGCTAAAGATTAAAGTCCTGACTTCCATATTTTTTTTTTTGATTACAAGCACATGTCTGGTGCACCAAGGTTGACCTTTGGTTGAGATACAGATTGTGTTTTCCAAGCCTGGGCTCAGTTCACCTTATAGTCAGGAAATTATTTTTAACTCTCCGCTTTTAAGTTAGGTTTCTCTTTAAAAATCAATTATCAAAAATACATAAACATGTTTTAAAGAAACAAAAAAACTAATCAATCCCAGTGGAGGAAACACAGATTTTCACGCAGGCTGAGAAGAGGTATTTTAATGGAATACCAGAAATAGAGCGCAATCTTCCACCTCCCCTGTGCTGACACAGTACTATTCTGGAAACATATGGTTAGCTGTTATCTTTCCCCTGTTTACTAGACAAAAAGACATAAAGAGAGGAATAAAAAAAAAAAAAAGTGAGAGGGAGAGCGTGAGATAGTCCTGGGTGTATTCAATAGGCATCCGTGACAGTGAGAGAGTGCTGAGAGATGAGAGGGAGAGTGGAGACAAGAAAGATAATAGAGGTGAGAGTAAGGTCAAAGCTTTGGTCCGTCTTAGCAAGGGAAGGAAAAACTCTTGTTTTTGGTCCTGCGCTCCATCAGAAATTGAACCAGCCAACCTGGAGAACAAGGGGCTTGGAGGAGTGCAGGTTTTATTGACAGTGAAACAAAATCCCCCATCTTTTCGTTGACCCCTTCGCCTTTTTACCCCTGTGGTAGTTTTTAAAAGAGACGCAGACTGCTGCCTAGAATAATCGTTGCTTTGCTTTTTCATACTTTTGTGGATGGCGAAGAACTTGCCGCTTCGGATGCATCACTGCTCTGCTCCTTACCTGCTATCTTGACAAATATAGATTTGTCCCACCAAACACTTCTCGTTTCTTTTTAGACTAACCAGGATACAATAATAGCTTAAGTTTTTATGGCAGGATTTCATTCACGACACTGATTTGTCACCAAAGTTGCAGTTGCTCAACACGCTTGACAGCTTTTCTCTGCTCCCTCTTCCCTGTTACGAGCGATAACATATTCATATAAAGTTGAGAGCTGGCTGTTTGTTAGCACTGGTATTACTTTGACCTCAGTGGGCTGATAGTGAAGGTGAAGTGCGCTGAGAAATTGAAGCCATCCAGTGCACAATCAGTAAGAGTGCAGCCCTAATATACAGGCCAGCACACACACACACACACACACACACACACACACACACACACACACACACACACACACACATACATATGGATGCATGTGCACATACAGCGCAGAGACAACCACCAAAATACAGATAGAGAGAGAGAGAGGCAGATCTTAGCTGTCATTGCTGAAAAATAACTGGACATCAGCCTGAAAATATGTCTGACTCCTGATGCATGTCAGTGTTTGAGAGCACGTCTGGTCTGCACATCATCACAACTGCCATGTGTGATGTGTGTGTGTGCAGGCATGTGTTTGGATCTGCTTGCGAGCATGTGACTGTGGTCCTGTGCCTCGTCCTGCAACTGTGCCACAGCTAATCCTCCACAGGAGTTCACCAGGGTGTTCGGCTAGTGGGGGGGGGGGGTTGTTTAGTGCAGGATTTCAGCATTAAATACAACTTATCAAAGACATCTTAAGCCTTATTTCTGCACTAGAAATTGTGCACATTTTACTTGCTCTCAGTGTTTAACTTCACTATGCAGAATGATGTATGTGCAGAGTCTGACACCAGGACACCGTTTTCAAATTCAGTTGTCGAAGCTGAAAATTCCCGTGTTGTCATCTTAAATCTGAATTTAGAATGTGGACAAACAGGAATTTATTTTTTTGCATCTTGGTAGTTTTTCAACGAAGGAGAGAGAGTGGATGTATGTTGAAGAATTTTTAGCCACACTAGCATCATGGATCTATGGATAGCAATATCAGCCAATCAGACTTTATTATGTCATTGGTGGAACATGCAGTTGCCTTTATAGCCCCCACCGGATGATTTGGCGATTTCCCCTGACATTTTCTCTAGCAGCATCATCAGCTACTTTAATTTGCGATCAAAAACCTGCATAACTAATGAGCTGAATTTTAGCATGCTAACATGCTATTAGAGGGTGAATAATGTGAACATTACACCTGCTAAACATCAGCGTGTTAGCATTGTCACTGTCAGCATGGTAGCATGCTGATGTGAGCAATACAGCCTCACAGAGCTGCTAACATAGCTGTAGACTCGTAAACTATTTATTTAAAAACCATATCAGACAAATTATTATTCCAACCAGAGTATTTTTATATGTCTTAAAACATGTCTGTAGGGGATCTTGTGTAAGGCGTGTAAAGCAAACAACTGGTGTGCCTCTATTGTGAATATATTTTCTGACATTTCACTACTCCTCATCTCCTCCTCTCCGCTCCTGATTCAGTAGCAGCAGACAGCTGTGTCAAACAGTGAGGGAACTTTTGACATTGACTGGGAGTGACGAGGCAGTGCAAGCAGATGTCTTCCTCTTTGCTTTGGGAGAAACGGCATCCTTGACCTTGTCATGGCTAATTTTAGGGCTTGGCTTATCACAGCGCCAATGTTTATATCTCCCATTACACACACTGTCATTACAGGAGGGACATGCTTGTAATTATGGGTGCATTCCGAAGTCAGGATGTTCCTGGGGGTCATGTTCATACCTCAGTCTGCACTCGCTTATAAGATGCTACGGTGTATGTGTTGATCATAACATATCTTTTTAGTGCGCGCACAGGCTCCCTGAGACGCATGCATTTGGCTTGAGTTTAGTTCTGACATGGACACATCCCTGCTACACTTCCATACACCTGCTGAAAACCCACACAAGCATCCTTGGCTCCTCTCTCCACCATCATCAAAGCTGCGGAGCCTCCTTTTCTTCGTCCACTTAAAGACACTGCAGGCTTTAATTTGCTGCGAGCAGCTCCTCTCTACCTGCCTCTGTGTTTTTTTTTTCTTCTCTCAGCTGGTCTTGGATGGCTTGGAGCCTGGGCCAGTGTGCCAAACATGATCCTCACAGCTGGGTGAACGCAGGAGAGAAGGGTAGCAAAGACTCACTGAGAGAATCTCCTCGTCCTGTTCAACAGTGCCTTTGTGAACTCCTCTCATTCATGCACAAATACAAACACAAGGACACAAAGAAACATTTAAAAAAAAAAAAAAAAAAGTTTCCAAAGCATATATGAGCCTCTTTTTCTCATCGCTAAATGTATCATGGCACAGAGCCTCCACGCTCAAGTCTGCAATAAGCAACATAAACGCGTATCATCCCATTAGATTAAATGGAGAAGATGTCAGTTGCTGGGCCGGGCTCCAACCACTGACCCCGGCGCTATTTCCTCTTCTCATGTCTCTCTCTCGCTCTTTGTAGCTCCCTCTATATTTCAATGCTGTCTCTCCTGTAGTAGTTCATTCCCTGTATTTCACTCAAGGCCATCCTTTATGTCTCGCTGTCATTCTCCACTTCTTCTCTCCGCAGTAGTTACACACACACACACTTTATCGTATCTTTACAGTGGCAACGAGTGAAGGTATAAGTTATATACGGCTGTAACGACGCAACGGGGAGGCATTAAATGTACTTAAACATTAACACAAGGATCAAAGCAGCGTAAACAGGAAGCTGGTGAAAATATAACATAATTGGACACTGTCTGTGCAGTTATTGATCATATCAGCATCGTCTGATGGTCTTTTATGTGAAACACAATATCTATGTACGCTGTAGTGCAGTGTTTCATGATTAACACTGCACTAACAGTGCAGTCGCATCATGGATTTTATGCGTAATAGTTGTTCAATTTCACCTACGTACATATGAGATAGATATTTTTTTAAATATCCATGTCCTTCAAATATAAAGGTATAGGATATGCTATTAAATAATAACCTGCTAAAATACAATTACAAATGCTTCACGTGCTCCTTGAAAAACAATTATTAGAAAAAATACAATGCTGAATGATATTCATGGTCACAACTGATGATTATTTTTATTATCAATTAATCTGCTGATTATTTTCTTGGCTAATGGATTATGAATGAATGAAATTTATTTGGTCTATAAATGTCACCAGTTGTCAGAGTCCCAGACGATGAAAACCCAAAGATGTTAAATTTACAATGATGTAAAACAGAAAAAAAAGATCCAAATTCTCACATTGGAGAAGCAAAAAAAAAAAAAAAATTAAGTGTTTTTTGGTTTGAAAAATGATTGCAGATTATTGAACTGACTTGAATCAGTGAATCAACTAAGTGTTTAAGCATTTACGTTAAATTTAATCATGTTTCAACTGAAGACAGAGAGTGAAATTACTTTATTAATCAGTGCACATAATAACAATGCTGTGTTGCTAATTTTTAGGTTGTTAAATGGGCTGCTTACAGCTACAATCTTTTCATCATTACTCTCTTCTCTCCCAGGCGGAGCTGACGGGCATTAAATGGCGTTGCTACAGCTTCCGCAGTGGCGGGGAGTACGGGCCCGTGATCTCGGCCCCGGCCCAGGACGACCCGGTCCTGCGCAGCTTCATGCGCTGCGTGCAGGCCAACCTGCTGTGCGTGTGGCGACGCAAGATCAAGCCCGATGCCAAGGAGCTGTGGATCTTCTGGTGGGGCGAAGAGCCCAACCTCTCCGACGTCATCCATCATGAGCTTGAAGGTGAGGAGGAGAGAAGGACAACAAATTGACATGAAGGATGAGTGTGGCTTCTCTGTTCTATCAATCTCAATTATTTTTCCACTTCACCTTAGCTTCTGTTTATGCGCTGAAAGTTCAGGTTAGAGGCTTCTACAGACTGTGTCATTTTTATGGCCGCTTTTTATGTTGCACTGGATTATAGAGACTGGGGAATGACTGCAGTTGTTGTATGGTTTTAGCGGATTTTATGTAAAACAGACTGAGAGTTAGTGAAATATGTGTTGTGTGTTACAACTCGATGTACAACATCAATTTGAGTTGTACAAGTGGCAGATAAATGGGAGTTGTACAGTGAAGCAGAGCGCGATGTGTGTTGTACATGAGCTGTATTGTCTAAGATAGAGCAGGGTTCAGTAATATGTAAATTCAAGCTGTTTAGTCGGCTGCAGATTCCAGCCGTGTGCTGTTTGTTTGAGATGTGTAGGGAACATTGATCTGTTTGGTGTGGAGTCGTCTTATATTTGAGCCTCATATAGAACATATCTGAAATCTGTTTTCCTGTAAAAAAAAAAAACAACTCGTGTTTATATGCTGCTTCAGGACTATCGCTGTTGATGAAGCACACAGCAATAGGGTAGATTTTTCTTGCCAGGATTTACTGTGTGTGCGTGAGTGTGTGTGTGTGTATGTTAGTGAAAATTACACTGAGATATCTCACTTGAGAGAGTGCTACTGTCAGCACTATTGTCCCTATTTATAGAAACATTTGCATTATCTCGCTGCGCACGTGTGTAGAAGTCTAACATATCGACTAAGCCTCGGGAAGACGGCGAGAGGAGGAAACAGGAGAGGGATTATATCAGGTTTGGTTTAGCAGAACAACAGTCAGGAGGGGGGAAAAAAAAGCAGGAAAATTGGATGGAGAGGTTGAAGCGATAGAGAGAATTTCAGTCTTCAGTTACCTGTTAAAGCCGACTTGACGTGAAAAGGCCTTTCAGGCACTGCGGTAGATATCTGACAGATGTTCTTCCTGCTGTTGGGGGGGGGGGGTTGGGCATGGGCTGGAGGCCGTCCTTTACTCAGACTGCTCAAGCATTTGTAATGGAGAAAAATACACTGTACAGTTCAATTGAGTTGTGTTTTCCATCATAAACACTGGCTGAGAGAACCTTTTTCGCTGCATCTCATGAGCATTTTTTTCGAGCTGATACATACCTACATTCATCTGCACTGTGTGTTCTAATGGTAATTTACATGTATATATACTTTATTTACACGATTCATGTGACGAGGTCTTCGCCATGTACTTTTATATTGAGGTGCTCACGGGGAGAGTGGCGTTCAGAACAATAATGTATCACCTGAGGCCTTATAACAAATATGTAGCTGTGTGACATATTAGCATTACCTCACCCGTTTGTAAGCTGCTAATGACAACCTTAACCATCAATTATGACTCCCTTTGTGTAGCACATTGAGCTCTAATTAAGTTAATAATAATCTTAGCTCATTTAATTACATTTTATAGCTAGAGTATTGATTACGCAGGATTGCTTGTAGTGTGAAAGACCATTTGTCTATGCTGGATATCCACTCACACCATGGAGATGTAGTCTGCTAATGACTGTTAACCAGATATTTGTCTTCAAGTCTCGATTTAATACATGTAAAATGGGAAAATTGTCAGTTAATCAAAGTGAAGTCGGTATCTTTGGGGAATAAAGTTTAACAGAAAAAACACACGACAAACAAAACAATCAATTGTGACTGCTCAGACCAAACTACATTTTTACATTTTATTAGAAATTGTTTGGTCTTTGCCATTATTGCTGTTGGGATTCTTTATTTGTCCGATTTAGAGATGTAACCAGTGATCATTTTCCTTCCATTTTCCTTCAATTTTCACAATCAAGTCATGAATTGGTTTCTGAAATATCAGAAAACTGTGAAAAAGTATCACGATCTTAAGGTGATGCTTCTTTTTCATTCCTCACTCACCTTCTTCTCTTGTTTTGTCAGACCAACAGTCCAAAGCCCAAAGATATTTAATTCACTATCATGTTAAGATGAAGAAAAGCAGCAAATTCTTACGTTGCAGAAGCTGGGAGCATCAAATATTTGACATTTTTGCTTGAAAAATATCATAAACAATGAATTGATACCTCAAGCTACAACTAATCCGTTACCTAACTGTCTGCCTGGCTCACAATAAGAAGTTAACAGCAATTTTTGGTCCAGTTTTTTTTAAAAATTCAACTGGTTGGATGTCTTTTGCCGTCAGTATTATCACTAATTTAACATCATACTGGCATCATACATACTGCGTTAGTGTGGAAGGACTCTTGCGGAGGAATATTCTACAGCTCAACAGACGTACACACACACACACACACACACACACACACACCATGCATACAATTATGATAATAAGACTTCTTTACTTCTGCAAAATCTCACAGGTCTCCCTGTACAATTCCTATTCAGGACTTAAAATAGCACTTGATAATTGTAATTAAAGTGACACTGGAGTTCCTGCAAATTAGAATCAGTTGTAACACAGGGAAGATCAGTGTTTTTCCAAGTGTTAAAGACCTGCTCACCTGGGTTTCTGTCCACTGTGGGAATGATTCATGCGTTAGATTTCTCTCCCCTGTAGATCTCTCCCTCATGTTGTCCCTCTCTTTTCTCTCTTTTTCTCAACATGCAATACTGTAAATATTGTAGTTACTTATATTTCTAAACTATGTGTGAAAATAAATAAGGAGGACTTCAGTAGAAGAAACAAATTAGTTTTACTTGCTAAAAAGTTTTCAAATTTTCCAACATTTACATTCAAAAAATCCCCTAAATACACCAACAGCTGTACACCAATGCTGCTCTCCTGCATAGTCACAGTCTTATAGTAATATAGTAATATACGGTAGGGTATGTGACAAGCAGTTGCTTTTTATTGTAGTCTGTTCATCACGTCAGAACGTTTGTTGATTTGATATACCAAGAAGCCTTTACATGCCAGAGCCATGTAGTAAGAAAAAAAACAAAACATGTTTTTATTCTGCCAATGGAGACACTCATCCGTTCAGAAATGCTGATTTACACACATTTGACTGAACAGCTAAAGCTGTCAGCTTGTCAGGCACATTTAGTGTGAATAATCAGCAGGTTAATTATGTTTTGAGTCATACTGAAAATATGCAGTATGTGTATTGGCGTGTGTTACATTATCTGCCTGCCAGTGAATGGATGAATTTTCTGAAGGTACGTTTGCTATGTAATAGTTAAGAAGAGGATGTTGCTTAACATCCCTTACACAACAATAAGTAAAAGACTCCGTATACAATTTTTCAGTCACATCCAGTAGAAAAACAAAACAGCTTTAATCACAGTTTCTGATCAATGTTACAAAATACACAGTGAGGTTAAACTGAAACCTGGATGGTGATTTGCACTAAACAAATACATTGGCTCAGGAAATCACCTCATTAAACTGTTGTTTATGTTTTTTTTTTTTAAGTGAAATAATGTAGAAAAATCAAGCTTAATTATATTTAGACTACATTCATTATTTTCCAGTATACCCGCTGGCAGCTATTAGAGAGACATAAACAATAAAAACTGTTGTGACCTGTGAAGCTGAGAGATATTTACCCACAGAGCCTGCACTCCAACAGGTGGGAGTCAGTTTAGCTGCATGAGGAGGGTGCAGATATCAACCTGGGACCCGAGTAAAGATCATTGTTAAGAAATTATATATTAGAAAACCTGACATAATGTAATAATTAATCCACGGTGACTGTTTTTACCCTTTATTCCTGCTGCTCTGTAAAAGCAACAGGTTATGGCTTTATGGGAAGTTATGTGCCGAGCAGACATCTCATTTGACTTCTAGGAAATGAAGGTATTTTCCCAGAATGTTGAGCTACCCTTTTTAAAGCCTTCAAAAGTTATCCAGCATTTCCCTTTTCTTACTTATGTAGAACTCCAAAATTGCCATTGAGGTATTTTCCTACAACAATAACAAAAGTGCACTGACAGATGTTTTTACCCAGCATTACACAAAAGCTGCTCAGAAATGACCCACAACCTCATAGGGCACTTAGTCTGTCAGTCAAACAAAGTGTTGGGTAACCACTTTTAACAACTTCCCCATTCAAGTTTCATAAAAATTTTTAAGATATGATTTAAATGAGCTGCACTTAGGTTACACATGAAGGCTGTGCGCAGTGTGGTAGCTCTGCTACACTGCAGCGGCTGTCAGTGGTGCTAGAAAATGAAAACATCAGATGTGGTAACATATTTGGTTGGTTATTATTCATGCAAACAGATTAACATGTTTACACAGTCAGACAAGAGAGGAGGATAAGTGTTTGACCGGACTGCATTTGCAGTGGCTTGGCCCGTTGCTGGCCACCACTACAAGCTCATCCTGTTATAGAGACAAATGCCTCTCTTGATGCGACTGTCCCGCTAACTACTCACTTTTCAGTGCCACCAAGCGGCCCATTTGATCCCCATTTGATCTAAGGTGATGGGGGAGATTTGGCTGACTTTGCTAAGGGCATTCGTTTTTGTATAACGAGCACAAAAGCTTTTGCAAAAAAACAAATTTTGTGAAAAAATCTATTGAGCGTGGTGGTGATTGTCATGAAGAATCCATGAATGCTACAGTGTGACCGGGCTGTACAAATGTTGATTGTGAACGTCTTGATATTGTTTGAAGGTGATGAATCTTTGCACCAGAGGTTTAGTCTAAATAAATCATGCCTTTGAGATAGCGCCAGCGGCATGAGCAGCTATGATCTAGTGTAACCTCTCTGCTGCTCTCTCATTGTACTCCAGCTCTCCCTGATATTGTCTTTGGTTCAATGACAAGTGGTTAAGCATCATGTCCAACACATGGTAGTGTGCTTTCTTAAACTGAAATGACGTTGACCTGTAATGTATACAGCATATTAAATCAGAGTCTGGGTTGAGCGCAATTTGCGAGGAAACAGGATTCATGTGTTGAATGGGCTGAATCA